TACATTAATATCAAAAACCCTGAGCCCACCACAATCTTTCGACTTTGCGATATCTTCCCATTAAACCAACGAATCGGGCGATTTGGCAAGGACCCCAAATGAATTTAGCTACAAGTTTATTAAGATCCGAAACCACCCCCACCGGAATTTGGAAAAGGGAAAGATAATTATCAGTGGATTTGTGAGAACGGCCCTTACCAAAGTCAAACGCCCACCGAAAGATAACAATTTGCCCTTCCATCTATTCAATCTTGCTTGGAATTTCTCGGTGATGGGCTGCCACAACACTTTTGAATTGCGGCGATGACCCAATGGAAGGCCAAGATACCTGATCGGCAGAGATTCCAAGCCACATTTGATTGCTGCAGCCCACGCCTCAACTCGCAATACTCGATCCTGAAGTCTCCGAGAAAAATAGGAGATCATCTACAAATTGAATGTGAGACACTACCAAACCTGTTGAACCGATTGACACGCCTCTGACCAGGCCGAAATTTATTGCTTTGCGGATAAATGATGAGCTTAGAGCTTCACTAATCAGATTAAACAAGAGTAGGGAGAGCGGGCATCCCTGCCACAATACTCTTTTTATCGAGAAATTATTTGAAGGGATAACATTAACCAATACAGAAACAGATGCGGATGAGACACAAACTGATCCTGAAACGCCATTTCCCCCCCAAAACCAGCCTTTTGCATAACCAAATCCAAGAACTCCCAATCTATTGTGGCATACGCCTTTTTTAAGTCAAACACAAAAACCAACGCTTTATGTTTGACTCTTCGCACATAATCGATCACTTCATTGTCAATCAAGGCACGATCCAATATTTATTTATTGGGTGTAAAAACGAATTGTGTTTTGCCAACAATTTCACCGATGAATCCAATTAATCTCCTTGATAGAACCTGTGCAAAAGTTTGTATAAACTACCCATTAAACTTATAGGTCGATAATCATCACAACTGATTGGATTCGGCACTTTCGGAATGAGAACTATAAAGGACTGATTTATCGAATCCAACTGAAAGGATCCTTTATGGAAATTTTCCATGAAACACAAAATATCACCTTTGAGATCCTGCCAGAATTTCTTGAGGAAATTGAAGTTAAAACCGTCTAGCCCCGGGGCTCTAGACCCATCCGCTGAGCGAATAACTGACCATACCTCCTCTTCGGAGAAAGGAGCCTCTAATGCCTGAGCAGTTTCCATCTCCAGTGTCCGGATATCACCAGCGAACGACTTTACTGAATTGTATGGACATTATTATAGGTCGCACGAAAATTCGGGTCATTGAGAACTTGATCACCAACTCGAATGGCTGCAATGTGCTTAATTTTATTTCTTACTAACGCCACCGCATGAAATAACTTAGTATTCTTGTCGCATTCTTTAAACCATTTTAGGCGAGATTTTTGAATCCATTCACGCTCTTCTCTCCTCAACCTTGACCACAGAGACGCTTTTAGTATTTGAATCTCCTTTTGGATCACCGAGAGGTTGGTTGAATTCAGGAATTCTTCTTCTAACTTTGAGATTTTTTGCTTCATTATCCGATATGGACATCCAGTCCTTTGCCTTTTCCTCCAATGCCCACTGCTTTGTTGCATTTTTTTGCTCCCTGAAGAACTCTATTAATCCCTTGACCCTGGTGCTCTTTTATTTCCTTCTTAATCAAATCCACACAATCAGGATCATCTGCCCAATGGTTAAAGAATTTGAATGGTACGCACGCTTGGATTGGACGAGCTTTCTCCAATAAGATGGGGTTATGATCTAAAATCCCTCTTGGAAGAGCTTTCTGAGTGATTAAGGGAGCTTCTGATAAGATCTTCGGTGAAAATAGAAACCTATCGAGCCTACTGGCCGAGACACTCGGATTCAATCTGAGCCACGTGAAGGAGCTGCCAGATAATGGAAGGTCAATTAAACTATTTCTTTGAATGAAATCCACAAGCATGCTAGCTGCTTGAGCGTTAAACACTCCCCCAGTATCATAGGCAAGTTGATATTCTCAATCAACACATAAAAAGATTTTCTCTCTCCCATATCATTCGGGGCATAGAGATTGACAAGACCACATCTCAAATTACACCCTCTAATCTTACCCAACAAAAGGATAAATATGTTATCTATGATTTTACTATCAATTTGAAAAAAACCCGAATCCCACATGGAGATAAGTCCTCCTGACGCACCAGACGATGGGGAGAAAACCAGGTTCACGCAATTTAACTTCTAGAGTTTTTCCAGTAAACCCAGTTTATTCAAATATAGCTGTGACTCCTGTAGAAAGATTATTCTCGCTTTGCATGCTCGAATAACTTTCCTCACTGCCCTCAGTTTTTCTGCTCTACCCAAGCCCTTAACATTCCACGACAATATGCTGAACTTTAACATTAATCTAAAGCAAAGACTAATTTGAAGTAGGCTATCGGCAGAACCCCCCAAGCTAGGCATCACTATGCCTCATCTTCCTCCAATTCCTGAATTCTCTGTAAGACAGAAGTTTCCGGCGCATCGAATTCAACTCCCAAAATCCTACTAACTTCAAGATCTGCTTCTGCTTCAGATAAGATTCTCCTACCCGAGCACCCACATAGGAAATTATTGAAAATCCATTATCAATTGAGACTTTCTTTCCATTAAATTTATGGTTTTTCATTATAGCAGTAGCCTTTTTCCTATTTGAGTCTGAGTGAGAATTTCTCTTTTGGGCAGTAGAAGATCCCGGAGCGAACTCCTTCACCTGGTTCGAGTTAATCGCCCTAACAAAATTGATGGGAACGTCTTGTAGTTTAGAACAATTAGAAATTTCCTAACCAACTTCCACTGGACTATTTTCCACCGACCCAACAACAACCTCAATATTGGGCTGGATTGGGATTGAGCCCGACTTTATGGATACCTCAACCAAATCTCTCTCTTGGGTTTATTTGATCTCCACGTGTATTGCTCAGTTCAGGAATTGACATACCTTGGGAAACTACAGCCTCATTATTATTGCCAAATGTCAATTGCTGAGACATACTCGATAGGGTTCATCACGATCCTCTCCGATAACGGTAAACCATTATTATGCGGATTCGAAGACGAAGCATCAACCTCTTCAACCACATTCTTGCTCACCGACGAAGAGACTTCTCTGAGCTGGTTTTCTTTGTTAAACTCCTCAGTGATTATCATAATCTTATGGATCCCTCCATTAATCATACTTAATTGATAATTTTTAAAATTGAAGGATTAAATTACTTTTATTTCTAGAAGGACCAATTTGCCTAATTCCAAATTGGGAGGGATTGAATGACCTTTTCACCGAAATGAAAGTTGGGAAAAAATAGTTGTCATAATGCACTATTTATCTTTTTCTCAATCATAATTCCACTATTGGCAAATTCACCATTTTGGGGGACTTTGGTTTTTTTGACGAACTTTTTAACTTTTAATTATTCCCTTTATTGAATATGTGATTGTTTATATTACTTTATTTCATATAAAAATATTGAATATTGAATATTTGTTTGAATTTTTGATTTTTTATATATTCATTATTTTATATATAATATTTTATTCATATAGCTTGTGCAAGGAATTCTAAAGGTATTCCATCAAATTTTTAAATTAATTAGAGGCCCTAAAAATTAATTAAATCCTAGTGATGTCAATGACGTACGTGTATCTCAATTAAATTAGGTAGATAAAGAATCTGTTTTTATAAATTATTATTTTCGTTCACCGACAATTAATGTGTAATAATTATTTATGTTGCTTTATTGTTTATTTTTTCTTAAAAAATATTTAATTGATATATGCAAAAGAAGCCATTGCGTGGATGCTGATTAATTTAAGTATGGATTTAAAAACCACTTTGACCACTCAACTATACCCTATTAAATAATATGCTGTTTAAATTTTGTTACTATAAATTTGATCACTCTATTTTCCTATAGTAACCCATATTATTTATCCTTGTCACATAATATTGATATAACATAAATTAATAAATAAAAATATAACGTGTGTCAAATCAAAATTTTAAAATGTAATATTTTTAACTTTATTCCATTAATTAATTTATTTTTATCATCACAACCACACTCAATGAAAGCATATTCTCATTTTTTATTGACAAAAAAATATTAATAGTTATCAACGATCTTTAGTATAAGTGATTAAACGTTCTCATTGATAATTTTTCTTTTTTTAGAAGTGAATTCTATATTATTAGGAGTAAAATTTTCTATTCTCCTCTCCTTAAAGTAAGAATTTTTAAAAAATATCAATCATCTAAACAAAATATAATTATTTAATAGAAAGATGCATTATGCTAAAAATATATTTTCTTATGAATCAAGCACCTTGTAATTAAGAGATTTGTTATTATCTTTTGAGATTTTAAATTCATGCACTATATATATCAGGAGTATAAGTATTCATCGTTAAATGATTTAAGGTCACTGAACAAATATTATTTTACATTCACCTTATATGTATAAAAAAACATTTTTCAGTAATTGATTGTACATTTATTTTGCGTTACATAAATACATAATATTTAATAAATAATTTGAAAAGTGTCAAATATGTAAACAAAAATGTGACGGTGTTATTGGGATAATAAGCCTAATTTATAGCCTATAGGTGCAATGCTTCTCCGGTTGAAATTCAAGAACTTGTTGTTGGGACTGGGAGGGATGTTCATGGCTCGCCGTACACAATGACTATTACTTGAAATGTGTCATGGCTTTGGCCTTCTCTTCAATTCCAAAAAAGAAAAAAGGGATATTGAATTATTCAAATTTTAAATAAACTAACGCTCTACTCTTTTCCTTTTTTCCTTAACTTTATTTGAAGAAAAACAAACGCTCTACTGGGAGGGATATTTGTATCGCCGTACTACCAAATTCCTATCGTCACTCTCTCTCTCTCTCTGACCGGAGATTCTTTCGTTGAACCAGGTAAGCTTTCGCTCTTCTGATTCTTACTTTCCCGCTGAATTTTATGTTCAATGGAACTGAAAACCCGAAGAAGCGGTGTCGGTTTGCCTGGCTCTTTCTCGAGTTTTGGTCTCCGGATCCAATTCAAAGAAGGCAATACAACGCTGCCGTTTCTCTTGAGTTGAAGTTCGACTCAGTTTCGAGTTCGTTTGAGCTCATTTTTTTCATAGCTGGAGTCTGTTTGAGCTTAAAATGATTCCAGTTGGAAGCCAAGTCATTATCTGGATATTTGCTTTCAAAATTTTAAAACCACTTTTTGTTTTCTGTACTTTTGATTAAAAAAACTCCTCACCTTGGTTTCAATGAGCTGGAATCGTTGTTTGGAATTCAAACTGAGTTGCTTCAAGTCTGATCCGAGTCAAAGCAAGTCAAACTCTATTTTCGTTATCAATTTTTAAAATTCAAAAAATGGAATTACCTGACCATTGTTGCTAATTAGTATGACAGTAATTATCATGTGCAGATTAAGATCTGTATGCTAATAGAAGAAGGAAAATGAATACACAACTTTTGGAGATTGAGCCTAAGGAGCTTGAATTCACATGTGAGTACATAATTATTTGATTTTCGGTTCATTGTGGTAACCTAAAACTATTTTTTCAATAATAATTAGATTAAAACACTTTTGATAGCTATTTTTTTCATTTATTAGAAGAAATGATCATTCTTATTTTATAATCACTTTGTTTTTTTTTCTTTAAACCTCTTCCTTCAACTCTTTATTAGTTTTATATAAAAAAAATATCATATAGAATCCATAGTAAAGAATATCACTTTTTTGCAGCAATTATATTTAACATTTTCTGGATTTTTTTGTGGAATAATTGAAGGGGTAAAAACAATTAATAATATGATTTTCAGTTTAGCTTTGATATTAATTTAAATAATTGTTTATTTCCCATTTAGAGTGATTTATTTATTGTTTATTATAGTTATATTGAAGAAGCCATGCTCCTGCTCCGTCAGACTCACAAATAACACTGACCAAAATGTTGCTTTCAAGGTCTGAACTTTGAACCAGCCCTTTCTGCATTCTTTTTATTTTTATTTTTTTTGTTTTTGTTTCTTTTAATAAAGTTTATGACCTTTGTTTTTGGATTTTTTTTCTTTTAAGTTTAGAGTATTGGATTCTAATGTAATTTTAGCAATGGTAATTTGCAGGTTAAAACTACATCTCCTAAGAAGTACTGCGTCCGGCCTAGTGTTGGCATTATTATGCCCAAATCAATATGTGAATTTACAGGTAAGGAGCTTTTGTACCGGAATGTATATGTCAACACTTGTGCTGTAACGAATGGATTTCAATGCGTTTAATTGTACAAGTCTAATCATCGAGTTGAGGTCAAGTTGTAAGAAACTCGAGTTTCAGATAAACTTGAGGTTTGAGCTTGATCAAGTTTTTCTTTTGATGTTTGAGCTCGAATAGATCCAAGCAAACTCTCAAGCTCACTTGATTGGGTTCGACTAAAGCTCATTTACATAGTAAAAGATGAGTTTTGAACTTTTGATACCTGTACTCACTTCAAATTTGATTATTTGTGCTTGACTTCGGTTAGGCTTCGCGGCTACCGGTGTAAAGCATTAGAATACTCAAATCTGGCATACTGAGCTATCTGAGCTCGAGTTTGACTTGATCGAACCTGATCTGAATTAACATCTGTGACGTGCAACTACAGATCATAGTTTAGTTTCGTTTAATCTTATAATGGCATAACTAAGGTGTTAGTAGATATAAGGTCACCTGGCTAAGGGACACACAGGTTTCAATGATTTTGCCGTCTTGGAAAGTGTAAGGAATGGGATAAGCCGATAAGAGTAAATTTTGCAGTTGTTTAGGTGCTTTAAATGCAGTACATGTATTTCTGCAGTTGACTATTGGTTGATTTCTTTTCTATATGATCATTCATGATTAATTTCAATAGAATGCAAATATATTGAGCAAACAAAAACTAAATACTCGAGAAATGACAATCTTTAGAGCAATCTGCCATTGTGCTGCCTCATCAGTGGCTGGACAAGTGAATCAAAGCTAGTGATGGAACTTATAAATAAAAGATAGTAATGAAATTTCTCATATGATTTCTTTATCCTTTTCTCTACTTCCTTGTGTCAAACTACATGTCTCACCCTTTTTTATTTATTTTGGTTACTTTTTACTCAGTTACCATGCAAGCTCAGCTCGAAACTCCTCCTGATATGATATGTGGAGATAAGTTCTTAATTCAAAGCACAGTTGTCCCTGTTAGAACAATTGATGTGGACATTACATCTGCCACAGTAAGTGATTTTATGCTCAACTCGTGATTTATTTGACAGTAATAAGTGACTTTCACTCGTCATTTTGTTTGATAGTTTGTCAAGGACAGTGGAAGGTATATTGAAGAGCACAAGCTTAAAGTTGCTGTTGTCAGCCAAACTCATTTGCCAGTATCATCAACAATTAATGGGACAACAAACCAGGGAACAGATCATAATGCTTCAATACCAAAACAGCCAGAATTCAGTAGAGTTGGGATTCATGCACCATTGCAGACGGTTAGATATGCATTATATATTCTTTCAGACCATAAAATGAAGTCACTTCGGTTCTGACATACATACATGTTTATATACACACATGACTTGCATGTGTGATTGCATTTTCATTTGAAGGGAAATATATATTCTTTTAAATCTGAACATGAACTTGAATGAAACTTTTTTTCCTTCAAATATGAGATTTAAAGACGAACTTCATGTCCGTTGATTAAGCTTATATCTAACAGTAACACTTCTATCAATGTTCCCTGCTCTTTGACAGGTTGCCGAGGTTGAGGAATCAAAAATGATAAATTTGGAAGATTTAAAGACAACAAAGGATGTGGAGTGGAAGCCAAAGAAAGATATGTTATATGCGGAGGATTTAAAGCCAAATAAGGATACAGAGCCAGAGCCAAAGCATGATGTTATTAACGAGGACATAAAATTTATGAAAGACACAGAGCTGAAACCAAAGAATAATTTTTTCAATAGCAAGGAGTTAAAGCTGGTGAAAGATGTGGTGTCAAAACCAAGGGAGAATACACTTGATACTGAGGAATGTAACTCGGTGAAGGAAAAGGAGTTCGATGCATTGAACGATGGTGAAGGGAAAACATTGAAGCCAGTGGAGGAGCTAAAGTTTGCCAAAGATGCGGAAGAAATGAAATCAAAACTGGCCAACCTTGAATTTAAGCTAGGCGAGGTAAGTGTATTTTTATTTAGGCAAGTTGTTACTTACCTCGGAAGCACAAATTTCTATAACTTAAGCTTTTATCTCTAAGAAGAGATAAAATTAGTAGCCAAAATTACTAGTTACCACAGTTTAAAGTTTGAATATTTTGCCTCGTTGCTTCTGACTCTTCATTTTACTTGAGGTATTTACATAAAAATACTTGTGTTTGACATATATTTATATAGCTATATTTGACACACTTTTGTACGAGTAACATAGCTTCTAAGCTTCAGTAACATTAGTGGTCAATTCCTTTATCAGGCTGAAGCAACCATTTCAAAACTGACAGAAGAGAGGAGAATAAGCACAAATTTCTATAACTTAAGCTTTTATCTCTAAGAAGAGAGAAAATTAGTAGCCAAAATTACTAGTTACCACAGTTTAAAGTTTGAATATTTTGCCTTGTTGCTTCTGACTCTTCATTTTACTTGAGGTGTTTACATAAAAATACTTGTGTTTGACATATATTTATATACCTATATTTGACACACTTTTGTACGAGTAACATAGCTTCTAAGCTTCAGTAACATTAGCGGTCAATTCCTTTATTAGGCTGAAGCAACCATTTCAAAACTGACAGAAGAGAGGAGGATAAGCACCCGAGAACGAAAGATTTTAGAAGACGAGCTTGTAAGCTTTCTCTCTGTGCATTCTTGTTCTAGTTCGTGTTACATGCTCCAAATCATGCGTTTAACAATGGACAATAAATTCTCCATGTCACTTGTTTAGTGTGATATATGATGTCCCTTATTTTTATAGGCATTTAGCTTTTGGGCTAGTGTGATGAATGGTCATCTTGTGTTGTGTACCGTGGAATGTCTTCTCGTTCTCACTTTCTTAAGAATAGGCCCGTGATTGTTTCTTAACACGTGACAATCTTTCTCTCTTTTACGTCCACTATAAATCCTGTTTTAGACCACTGGTTCATGGATCAATTGCAGCATAGTTCGTCATTTGAGTTCTTTACCAAGTGGAATAATGGTCTGGATTTTTCATTTTGTTTGAAAATATCGTAATTTTGATGCTTATTAACTATGATATATCGAGTATATGAAAAGATTATACCGCATTAGACATATATTCATATTGGAAAATCCTTTAAATTTATTGACAACAAATTTGTGTCAATATTATGCAGGCGCTATTGAGGAAGAAGGCGAAGCTAAGTGAAGCTAAAGTGGGAATCCCTTTTTTATGTGTTTGTATGGTGGCACTCATCAGCGCCTTCATCGGATACCTTTTGGTAAAGAACAAGGCTTCGGTGTCGGTTCTTTACCAGTTATAATCAATACGAGATTAATCCGTTGATTAGGCAACTGTTTTTATTTTTCTTTTTTGTTAATAATAATAGTAATCATAATTATTTTTGTTGTCTGAAACACTTACGAAACTTTTATCGAGCAAATGCCAGTCTGACATTGATGAGTTCTTGTTGAGGATCAGATTAGGTGTTGAATTCGGGGGTGTAAGTTCTTGATTTGGTGTCTCTTAAAAGAATAAAAATAAATAAAACACAAATATGATACAATGATACGTCAGGTTAGGACTGAAAGTATTTAATAAAAGAGAAAATCGCCTCAGTGACCAAAAAAAAGTTATAATATACGATTTTAACCAACTTTTTTTGGATTTTCCAAAATGACCAACAAAATCGCAACGCGAAATAAAAATCGCAACGCGATCCCCAGAATCGCAAATCAGTTTCCAAAATCGCAACGCGATTCTTGAAAATCGCAATGCGATAGTACAAATTCGCATTGCGATTTTCCAAAATCGCAACGCGAATATGAAAATCGCAACGCGAACACATAAATCGCAACGCGTATCCGTAAATCGCAACGTGTATCCGTATATCGCAACGCGTATCCGTAAATCGCAATGCGTATCCGTATATCGCAACGCGTATCCGTAAATCGCAACGATAATCCGTAAATCGCAACGAGAATCTGTAAATCGCAACGATAATCCGTAAATCGCAACGAGAATCTGTAAATCGCAACGATAATCCGTAAATCGCAACGAGAATCTGTAAATCGCAACGATAATCCGTAAATCGCAACGAGAATCTGTAAATCGCAACACTGAAATTTTGGGTATATAACACTGAAATCATAAACTAAATCCCTAAATCGCAACTCATTCCATCTCCATCTATCACTCTCTCCGGCGACATCCGTTCCTATATCCAACGACATCCTTCCCAATCCGGCAACAGGTTTTAGTTTCGCAGCTCGTCTGTTTAGTAAATTAATTTACAACCATGAAATCATCTAATGTTGATCATGTTTGGATAGATTTGTGTTTTGGAGGGTCATGGGATAATGTTCATGGTGTTTTACAATATATGCCTTTACCCATGAATCTTCAACTAAAATTGTCTTTACAAAAGTTAACTTATGAAACTCTAATGCTACGTGTTTCAAATAAATTGAATTTAGAGCCCCTAAGTGGATTTAGGCTATCTTATCAGAGAAATGGTAAAGTTTATTTGTTAACCGACAATGAAGATGTTGAACGATTCATTGCTTACATTAGTGTTTCACAGATGATGTTACATTGTATGTTGTTGAACCTAGAAGTAGTATTGTTGGGTCAGTAGCGGGTAGTAATCAACTAAGTTTTTCTCAAAACCCACAACCTTTCTCTAATCCAAATCCCAATCAACTTTCAGCACCAAATTCCGGTTTTCGTATTGACCAGTTAGACGATGATGAGCCAACAGAAAAAATTGTGAGTACTAGTCAGTATTCGAAATTTGGTCTTGGTCAATATCCGGACTTTGATATTGGTCAATACACGGATTTTGATGATGTTTCAGAAGAAGAAACAGACCCTGCGTGTAATGATTTTGATATTGGTCAATACCCGAATTTTGATGATGAAACAGCCGTTGCCGAAGAATGTATTGTTGATGATAATGAGGAGGAAGTTACGACTGTGAATGAACATGTTGAACATCCATTCTGTAATTCATATAATCCTGAAGAAGAAAAGAAGAAGAAAAACCCCGAAGAAAAGAAAATTCCACGGGCGTATAACTGGAATATGCCAGAATTACTTCAGATACCGGAAGAAGAGTTGGTAAAGAAAGCAGTTGATTGTTACACAAAAGTTATTCGTATCAAGAAAGATGATTGTTTTGATACAAAGGAAGACTTGAAGATAGCTTTGTATACGAAATGTGTGGAAGATGGCTATCAACTAAAAGTTAACAAATCAAGCAAAGATCGTTTCGAAACAAGGTGTATGATTGACAAAAACTGTATGTGGCGAATGATTGCAAAGAGAATAAAAGATTGCGAAATGTTTCAAGTTAGGACTTTTATTGATAAACATACATGTTCAAGAACCCAAGTTTTTCCTCACCATAGACAGGCAAACAAAAGGTGTTGGGTGGTTTTCTGGCTGAGTTAATGTTTTTGAATGGCAGGGTATATCGGGGACATGAAATTATGACTGACATGAATGCTCGGTTCAAGATTAGTATATCATATTCTCAAGCTTGGAGAGCCAAATGTTATGCCTTGGAATTGTTGAGGGGGTCGCCAGAAGCATCGTTTGCCCAACTGCCGGCTTATTGTCACAATTTAAAGCTGAAAAATCCTGGGTCGGTAACTCATATCAAAACAGATAGAGATGGACGCTTTGAGTTGCTGTTTATCGCCATTGGTGCTACGGTTAGTAAATCAATATAATTTTGTTGACTCATTTTTGTTAGTTACATGCATTTCACATTTAAATGATTATTTCTTGTGTATATTATTTTGTAGATTCGTTCGTTTATTACTTGCATGCGCCCAGTTATTATAGTTGACGGAGCACATTTGAAAGGTCGATACCTTGGAGTAAACTTATTAGCAGTAGCCATGGATGCTAACAATGGGATATTGCCAATAGCTTACGGGGTTGGCAAATCTGAAACCTCTGATTCATGGACATGGTTTATGGGGCATCTTAGGGATTGCATAGGTCCTATTAGCAATCTGACAATCATATCCGATAGGGCAAACTCAATTGACAACGCTGTTAGAAGGTGTTTCCCATATGCTTTTCATGGACTTTGTGGTGTTCATTTGTATAGAAATCTAAAATCAAGGTCTGCTGGTATAAAAAACACAAATGGACATACTGGAAGGCTGTAAAAGCTTATCGGGAAGTGGATTTCAATAAGCATATAAACTGTTTAAGACGTGTTTTGCCTCAGTGTGCTCAAACACTAGAAGATGTCGGGTTTGAAAGATGGTCAAGAGTACATCAACTTGGAGCAAGATATGGTTTCATGACGTCTAATAGTGCAGAATCAATCAACGCTCTAAGTCGTCATTCCCGGAAATTACCCATTACTATGTTAATGGAGTTTTTTCGAGCCTCTATTCAACAGTGGTACTACAAGAAAAGAAACCATGCAGGTATTATTTCTTTGAATTCGTAACTTATCATTTATATATTTTACTAAGTATTGTTTATTTAAATTTACAGGAACATTGGAACATCGTGTTACACCATGGACTGAAAAAAAGATAACGAAACGTGTTGTGAAGTCAACGTCATGGAGAGTTGAACCATGTTCAAACACTTTGTTTCAAGTACTGGATAATAACTTAAATGGGCTAGTCGATCTAAATGCAAAGACGTGTAGTTGTATGAAATGGCAAACATCTGGTTATCCGTGTGGCCATGTTATAAAAGTTGCTCTTCATTTAAACCAAGATGATTCAAGCGCATACGCTATGGATTGCTACACTACAGAAGTTTATCGACAGACTTATGCCGAGATTGTCTACCCTATTCCACATCCTTCTGAGTGGGACATACCAGATGACTTACAAACAGTTTTGCCACCAGCCATGGACAGAAGGCTACCTGGCCGACCAAAAAGTCACGATCGTATACCGTCTAAGGGTGAAGAGAAGAAGAGATCGACATGTAGTCGGTGCAAGGAAAGTGGTCATACAAGGTTGACATGTGGATCACCAGTGCCATCAAAATCATCTTTTCCTCTACCAAAATATGGATCCTCATCAAAATCACAATTCGCTTCACCTTTTGGGACTGTTAACTTATGTGATTTTTAAATGCAAACGTTGTATTATGTGGATTTTATGTGTGAACTTTTAACATTTTCAGTTGAATTAATGACTCAGGCCAACCATTTTGACTTAACCAACTCTTGTTATTCAGTTGTTATCACTATTAGGCATGCATTTGACTATCGCAACACGGAAATTACAATCGCAACGAGAGAATCGCAATGCGAAATGAAAATCTCAACATGAAAATCGCAATGCGGAAATGAAAATCGCAATGCGAAATGAAAATCGCAATGCGAAATGAAAATCGCAACGAGAGAATCGCAATGCGAAATGAAAATCGCAATGCGAAATGAAAATCGCAACGAGAGAATCGCAATGCGAAATTAAAATCGCATTGCGATTCTCCCGTTGCGATTTTCATTTCGCATTGCGATTCTCTCGTTGCGATTTTCATTTCGCATTGCGATTTTCATTTCGCATTGCGATAGTCAATTTTGCCTTCAACATAATGCAGATTGAAATCAACAAAATCAACCATTACATTTCAATCAATTAAACAAGCACAAATAAGAATTATATTCGCATCAATTACACAAATCAACTTTTACAAATCAACTTTTACAAATCATCTTTTACAAATCAATTAAACAATCAAAAAATAAGCAATAATTCTTATTTCCGATCATCTACTATTGAATCAACTTTTACAAATCAATTAAACAATCAAAAAACAATCAATTAAACTATTGAATCAACTTTGGCAGCCATACATCATTTTCACGCAGTTCACTTCTGAGATTAACCTGCAGAAACCAAACATTTGCTCAAACAACACTTTCTACACATCTAAAACCTACAAACAGCAAATTATTGAATTCTAGGTACTTAACCAAACATTTTCAAACCAAAAGTATATAAACTTACCAATTGTTTATGGACATTTTTATAACGCGGATGCAGGTAGGCAGCGTCTCGTATATATCGATTTAGCCATATAATGCCGAAACCACAAGCCTACTGCAGCTCTATCTCTATCGGTGGGAGGTAGATACTTGATGTTTCCCGTCGTCAAACGCTCCAACGCCAAGCATACGAGAGGACCACAATCTCCTCTGGCTCCGCTCGTTTGTTGTGGCGCGGTCTCGTCTCTAATAACTGTAATATTGAGCTTCTTTGGCTTCTTGTTTCCAGAACGAGTCCAATAATTGATCGCATCCAAGAATTTAGCCAAATGAGAGCTCCATCCCTTAATAACATCTCTTAAATA